AAGCCAAGAGATTGGTAAGGTTCAGGAAAGCTTGGTCATATGGATAATGAGAACATCTGCAGTTACTTTAGAAAGGATTTAAAACAAAAGTTTTGAATTGATATAAACAGTAATTCTTCAAGGCATGTCTGCTGATGGGAGTTAGGAAGAAATTTCCTCTGTGGGCAGGCTTTTTCCATATATAGCCATTATGAAATTTCATAATGCAATGTTCTCTGAAGCAGCTGGTATAGGCTATTATCAGAGCCCAGATACTGGACTAGTTGACCACTGGTCTGATCCAGTATGGTAATTCCCATGTTCCTGTATTTCATGAAAAATAAGTATATTGCGGCGAACAGCTGTAAGTAAGGGATAAATGCATTAGCTGAATGTTTCTGTAATTCTGAAACATGTTGACATTTTAACTGTTAGCATTAGGCTTCAGAGTGAAATCCATCGAGATGACTGGAGTGAGAATTCATGCTTCTAAGAGCTACTGCTTCATCCTCTCTGAAGACTACATCAGTTTGCACTTGATTCACATTAACCAGGGCCGGCTCCAGGCACCAGCATTCCAAGCAGGTGCTTGGGGCGGCAATCTGCAAGGGGCGGCAGTCCGTGTGTTTTTCCTGCCCCAAGCAGTGTGCTGAATTGCTGCCGCGGATGGCAATTCAGCCGGAAGACAAAAGCCGCCGAAGACAGAAGCTGCCGCTGAATTGCCGCCGCCGCGGAAACACGCGTGCCGCCCTAACGGCACATGGATTGCCCCATCCGTCTGGCGGCAATTCAGCGCGCTGCTTGGGGTGGCAAAAACAGTAGAGCCGGCCCTGACATTAACAAAGTTTTCTTTGCAACCCCAGAGGCTGCAATATTTTTATTGCAATGAATGCTTAGATTCTGGAGCAGAATTCTATGGCAAGAATTGCAAAGTACCTAGGCCCCTGCATATTAGATACACCAGCCAGCACTGAATATTATGTAGGAATATATATGTATATATCATTAATATGGAAAGTCTCAGTGAATTCAACGATGTAAACCTCCTATACATTTTAGTATAGGAGTAAGCAAAGTCGAAACCTGTTATCAAGTGCTGCTGCTTTTCCTCTGGACAGTCACGTATCTGTGCTCTATCTTACTAACAGATTTTTATGAGATGTAGTGTTATTTATACACAATTTTATGCTCACCTTAAAGTGAGTTACAGTTAAAAACAAGAGTGTTTAAAATACCAGTGAGGACTTAACTTTAGAATGGCAACAAAATTATTTCAAACCTCAAATAAAAATTAGTTTGAAGGACTCAAACTAAATTCAGGTTCATATTGGTTCTTATTTATTTGGACTGGTTCACTCATTTCTGAAGTGAACTAGTGTGTAGCTATTCGGCTGAGCTCAGCGGGCTGAAAGTTCACAGAGAAAATAGCACTTTTTCCTATCTGCAAACTGATTTATTTAAAATGAATACATCCATAGCATTAGATACATGTACTCATTTGTGTACAGAATAGCAGCAGTTACAGATTGGAACAGCAGCAGCTGAATAAGCTACTGCTGCCTCCTCTAATCTTTCCTAAGACTTTCCTCTCTTAGCTTAAAACGTCTACTGACCTCAAGTGGGGCAGCAGGTGCTCTTTATGGTAGTCAGCATTCAAAGCTTTTAGAGCTTTATTGGTCAAAATCAACACCTGGGAAAAAGATGGGAAGTCAGTGCTGACTTCTGAGCAGTGGGTGCCACTGTTAAGTAAGAGGGGTTCTGTAGTCTGCCTCAGTTGAGAATTCCAAATGATTTTCAGGCTAAGCCTCAAACAGTTCGTTATAATAATCTAAGCTGGAAGTGACATGAATAACAGTGACCAGATGTATGTGTGAGAGAAAAGGTCACAATCTCCTAGCCATGGAAAAATGCACTTTTGGCTACTGGGGCTATCTGGCATCCAGAATCAGCCCAGGAGTCAATAATGCCCCCCGATTTATGAACCTGAGTAATAATAGGTTAACACACTTCTTCAACTGAGGGAGCCAATATGACCTCGCCCATTTCCTCTGGTTAGTCCCCACAGCCTACTAGCATTACATACTTTCAATGCATGTTGAGTCTAGGCTAATTAGCTTTCATTCAAGCCTCTAAGTGCTGGGAAAAATCAAACAAATGTACTATCTGGGGCTCATGAAACAGATGTACAACTGAGTGTCATCCACATCTAGAAGTCAACTCAGTCTGCATGCCTCCTTATGTAGCTTAATGCCCTCCCATACCCATTGAATAAAGAGACATGACAGAACAGAACTCTGTGATGAGAGAGCTGTAGGCACTGATGAGAAATCATCCAAAACTATTCTTTTGGGATCTCACAAACACACAAAAATGGACCGACCAAGTTATTCTGGCTATTCCTCCCAGGGTCTGCAGCATATCAATGGTATCAAAGTCTCCGAATATATCTGTAAGCTAATGGTGCAAAAGCGCTGTATCAAAGAAGAGAATTTGGCTGCTAATCTTCATCTATTGCTAGGAAGAAGTCACCGACTGATGAAAACAATGTAGTCTCTATCCCAAACACAGGCTTAAAGCTGGAGTGACAAATCGAGGCAATCTGAGAACTCCAGGTATTGCCATCACCTTCTGCATAATGTTTCATAAAAGAGGGAGATTAGACTGGGTGATAATTGGTGATATTCTCAGAATCAAGTGAGTGTTTCTTGAGCAAAGAATTGATAATCTCCTCTTTAAGGAATGCTCTTAGGGAGGTCTTGATGATCTCCAGACCTAAAATTCATAGTACAGCTGCCTGCCTCTGATCTGCCTAATACCTCTCCAGCTCACTGAGAGGAAAGGGGTAAAAGCCCATTTCCTGAAATCTTAGACTTAAAAATATATTTTATTAGCATTATTTTAAAGGACAATATAGTGTCAACATTAACTCTAGTGAATTTGTTTTGGTGGTGGGTTTGTGCATGTGCCGGGTGGGGGGGGGGAGGGGGTTTCTAAGATTATGGAACAAATTTTATACAGCACCCAGCTGCAGCATACATACTACTTCGTCTGGTTTCATGCTGTGAATTGTGTGTCACCTATATTAATTACTGGTACCCAGGAACTAAAGACAATGAAGTGAGACTTACGGATGGAGTGGGAGCCTTTTAACTTTGAATGTTTTGGCTCTGGTACAGTTAAGTCAGCTGCTTATGGTTACTCTCTTGCATATGAGAATTGTTCTGCTTATTTCTAGCAAAGTATTGCTTTTGCTGCCATGTAAGCGCGCGTGAGAAAAAATTCTGCTCCCGGGGCCTTACGACTAAAGGAAGCTGACCTCTTTGTTTTGCAAATCTTTACCATGCTAATTAAAAAAAGAACAAGGGCCCCATCCTGCTAAGCGTCAGTAACGGAGTCCTAGGGTGATCCTGTACAGAACATACTACTTTTTCCCCCCTTGCTTTGTTTTTATTTTCATCCCAGAGACTTGATGGTAAAATGAATTAATAAATAAAATGAGTGAATGGGTGGGAGATGAGGAGGAAAGCTAATACGATTAAAGCTGATTTGGGCACTGGCAGAGAGTTCCTGTCGGTATTAGAGTAACAGCTGGTGCACTTCCCATTAGAGGAGAAAGTGAAGAACTTGCCTTAAAGGATGTGTCGCTGTCAGGCTGAGGGGGAACGGTTACAGTGAGCCTGAAGGAATGTGTCCCAAGGTAAGTGAATGTCAATGGCAGGGAACAGAGCTGAAATGGTACTGGGGCTAAGGCCTCCCTGTCTGATAGTGACAGGCTCTTGTAAAGGGGTGAGATACCTGGGGAACAAACACCCAAGGGTTAAAAAGCAGAGAGTGCAATCTGGTGAATTCTAAAGGCAAAACGTTGCAGTTCAGCAGTATTTTTTGAGGCCCAGGGAGAAACCATCTTTTGCAAGGATGATTTAAGCCAGGGGTTCTCAAACTTCATTGCACCACGACTCCCTTCTGACAACAAGAATTACTACAGGACCCTGGGTGGGAGGGCAGGGAGGCAAAAGGGTGGAGCCTGAGCCCTGCCACCCCAGGCTGAAGCTCTCGGGCTTCGGCTTCAACCCTAGCTCCGGGCCCCAGTAAATTTAACACTGGCCCTGGGGACCCCATTAAAATGAGGTCACAACCCACTTTGAGGTCCTGACCCACAGTTTGAGAATTGCTGATTGAAGCGTATCCAGGGAGTGGGAGAGTGCATCCCAGCCAGCGGTATCACACCAGCTTTCTCTTCAGTTTGGGGATTGGAATTTTAAGAGGGGCTCCTACGAGCTGCCACAAGCTCCTCATGGCACTTGAATGATTGGAGTGATGGAGCACTAGAGAAGGCTAAACTGCCTGGCTGCTCTCTGCTTGAGGCTGGGAACAAACTGTTTCATGTTCAGTGGCAGTTTTTCAGAATTAGTGGCAAATTCAGAGGTGATGTGAAAGGTGATGTAACCGAGACTTTTAGTCTGAGACTCCCTCTGACTTTTATATATCCACTTACTGATGCATGAGCCAAGGACAGCAAAGCCAGTATAATTTACATGTTGAAAAGGAGTTATTTGAAGATGTACATTAAAATAGGGCTAGCCTGCTTTCATGTACACATTCATCCACATGTGTGATAAATATTTGTGTACACATTCTCTATTACTTTTCAAACCTGCACACTGCTATATGGAGACAGCACCGATGATAAGAAACAGGAATAAGTATATTCTGTCTGGTTTAGGCATTTATTTAATGCCAGTTACCGTAGACTCTGAGAAAAGAAAGCTATAAGTTCCTGGATAGATAGCAGGCCTTAACTTTGTGAATAGTGCTTCCTCATATTAGAGTTTAAAGATGAAATCTTGATATTAACCAAAAATAAGTAGGGATTTATCTTTGGCATCAAATGTTGATTTCAAATTTAGCACCTTGGATGTTTCACTATCATCAAACAATGTCAACAGAAGAGGAAAATTTAGAAAAATAGTTAATTATTAAACCTTAGCAAAGACATTCTGTACTTACCCATACTTCCAAAGCCTTGAAGGGTTTGCTCTCAGCAGAACCATTGTGGTTCTGTTGTGCACAGTGGAGTCAGGGTATGTGCTCTTCCCCCACCCACTGCCATGTGATTCAGCATCCAGCTTGGTGTTGTCTCCATGTATCAGTGTGCAGGTGGAGCAGGGACAGAAGATCTGCTGCTACATGGAATCTTTCACTGGGATGGGCATGAAGTAGTTTCCATGGAGCAGCTCCACAGACTTGTGGAATAGATGTTTCCATCTCATGTACTGCATAGTTACTTGGGTAGGGCGGTGAGTGCCGAGCAAAGGATTTTGTACTCTGTGTAGATGAATCAGAACTTGCAGAATCCTTTCTGCTGACAATAATGGTAACAAGACTCTTTAGAGTGATGGTCATCCAGCTTTTTTGCTCTGTGGACAACTTCACAAGAAAAAGAATCCTCTTATGGATCATCCCCCACCTCCCAAACCACTTCTTAAAATGTTCCTTGATTGTGGGTTACTAAGAAGGGCTCCATGAGTCAGAGAACTTTTTTTTTTAATTGAAAGGTTTTGGGAAGTATTATTCCATGTCTCAATGAATTCAAAGATGACACATGTGCCATGTTTACTGATTGTATCTTCCTAGAAATTATTACTTTGAACTTAACCTAGAGTGTAATGCCTGTTATTTTGAATAACATAAGGTGGAGGATGGAATGAAAGTCCAGGTAGTTATCATTGGATGGGCATGCACAATCTTGTGCTCGGTTTCGTACACTGCTGCCTTCTCCCATGGTGCGAGTCTTTCCGCCTGTGGTGACATGACGCCCAAACATATAAGAGCTCAGCTTCAGAATCCCCGGAACAACTACATCACTCTCCACACCAATATGTCCTTCTACTTTCCAGGTGATAAGGTACCAGGTAAGGAGTATTAACTAACTTTACAACATAGAACATTCATGAAAAAGTCGCAGTGCTGCTAGTAGTTTTCACCTGTTGTGGGTCAAGCAGAGAAATGCAAATCACAGCAGCACGGATTCTGATTACTGTGTATCTAGCAGGGAAGTTTTCTAGACTGCACTATTGACTCATAAGGAATAATTATGATTTATTTAATAGGAAATTATTTAATTATTATTTAATAGGAAACTTGTATTTACACACACACACACGCCCCTCTACCCCAATATAATGCGACCCATATAACACGAATTCGGATAGAACGCGGTAAAGCAGGGGGGAGCCCCAGGCCCTTTAAATCGCCGCCTGAGCCCTGCTGCTGGAGCTCTGATGGTGATTTAAAGGGCCCAGTGCTCCACGCAGTGGCTGGAGCACCGGGCCCTTTAAATCACCACCGGGGAAGCCTGACTGTACCGGTTTACTTTAACCTCTGGATATAACGCGGTTTCACCTATAACACGGTGAGATTTTTTTGGCTCCAGAGGACCGCGTTATATCGGGGTAGAGGTGTATATATAAAAACACATGATAACTAATCTCAGTTAAGACAATCTTTGAGTGATGAGAAGTGGGATAATTTACGCATCTACCCTAATTACGGATAGCAACCTTCATTTATGGTATGTATGTAAAATATGCATTCTTTTTTCTCATTATAATCCTTTCAGTCTTAATGAACATTCTGCAATCAGTTACACTTAGGTAAATTCAGAGAATGAAATTGTACATTTCAATGGGGTCTTCTTCAGATTTTCCCCATGCGATAGATGCTGGGCCCGAGGCAACCCCCACTGAAGTCAATCAGGCCCATAGATCCAATGGGAGATTCTCACACAGAGAACTCTGTCGGACTGGGCCCTAAGTATTTTAAATGGCAATGAAGAGGAAGCTGACCCGTAAACATATCGTCCATCCTACCTACCTACCCACATACTCATTCCTATTCAAAAGACCAGGTCTTAAACAAAAATGAAGCATGCACTTCTTTGTGCAACAGGACAGTTTAATTCTTATACAGGAGTTCTTTTCAAAATTAATCAATATGGTGTATATGTATATATTAATAGTGTATAGATAGCTGTATTCTTCCGAGTATCAGCTGATTAGTAGTTCATAATTCAAAAATGACTCAAGCAAAATTTCCATGTAGCTTTCATGGGAAAAGAGTCAGCATTAAAGAATGTTCTGATATTTTCAGAATGCTTAAGAGAGAAATGTAGAGGCAAAATGGCAGGCTTGGTTCCATATGGATTCCTCCCAAGTTCACCAATTCCAAAGAAAATTCCATTGGAAATTATTAATGCCAGAAATGCAAATGGATGCCTTGGACAAATTGCTTTTTGTACCATGGTTTGTTTTGCAGTGACAGTGAGGAGCTCTCGGGATTTCATGGGCTTTTTGCTTCAAGCTCGCAGGGTATCTAATGATCAAGTTGCTGGAACTTTTGTTTTCATTCCTCCGGGTTCCAAACTGCTGACTTGTTTTGAAGATGGTGATTCTGTAACCCATTCTGACAAGTCACTGAAGAGAAACCTGTCATTTGTGTGGAAGGCACCTGCCCAGCCCATTGGAGACATCAAGTTCTTGTAAGAATATATGGATCCTAACCCTACTTCATATCTATGGAAAGTCCCGATGCCCTTACAGTTTGCCATGTTCAATGGGGGAGGGGCAGGGAACAGTGTTTAGATATTGCTTGAGATTCACCAAATATTGGAGTAATTTCTGAGCTGCTGTAAATTGTCACAGATTCATTGTCTTCAGTGGCAATTTACAGCAGCTGAGGATCTGCTCCTTTGTATTTACATGGTCAGCTTTCTCCTACTATTAAACAAATCTGCAGATGGAAAACAACCTAAATACTTTGGAAATCAGTAGCCCTGTATATGATTTCACTGATTTTTATTTACCTCCTTTAAAAAGTTAAATATAAATAGAATTGTTCACAGAATAAGTTATTGGCTTGCATCAGATAGTAACAGAGAGGACACTAGATATCCAAGATCAGATACTATAGCTCAGTTTAGGCAGTATAAGTTATGAGTTACACCAATACATATTGCACCCAAAAATACAGTCATTAAAAGAATCTTAAAGTTGCAAAGTGAAACACTCCAGAATTAGGAAATGGCAGCTGACCCGGGGCTGCCACAGGTGTTTAATTGCTGTGTAGCCACACCCCAAGAGACACAGAATTCCTAGGTTCAATTCCAGGTTCTGTAGGAAAGTGTTTTTTAGTAGTTATAGACCTTTCTTGTCTGTCCTCCTCTGGCAGAAAAGCAGCATGGAAAATATCAGCTTGAATGATTAAAGCTTGGCAAAGTTATAAGCAACTGAATAGAGGGGCTTATAATAGAAAGTGTCCAACAGTCTCAGTTATAGGTGGTGCTACCAGCCCTGCTATAATACTGTTATAAAAGTAAAATTGATGAGCCTTTTAAATCAGTAACTCCCACTTGCCTCCTTGCCCACGGAAGCAAAGCTAGTAAAAGTTTTCCAAATGTATTTTTGTTAAAATTTGAAATTGTTTTATTTTCCCATTCAGTTTTGCATCAGCCCTAATTATAAGTGAACCATTACACTGCATTTTCCCTATGGTGTCTAGTGTGTTTTATTTTTAATATAAAAACTGTGATGGACTAATCTATTAATTTTTATTGCACTGTTTTAGTTTTTTTAAATAATTCCTTCTGATTAGGGAAATTTCTGATGTTCTATTAATGATACAGGGTGACTAAATTTTTGCCTAACATACGTTATTTTTTGACAGTTTATCGGTAGTCCAGTCATATTTTGTTTACTGGGTAAGGATTGAATCTGCTATTGTGTCCCACCAAATACAAAACAGAACACCTGCTGCTAGTAGCAAGAAGTCCAGCACTATAATGCCAACACCACTGCAGAAACCTACTGATCTAAAAGTAACAGTTACAGCAAGCAAAGGTATGTGTTATTTTACTGACAACTTAGTTCCACTAGAATATTTTTATGGTATATTCCTTCTTCCAGCTAACACAAGTGACATAAGTGAACCTCAGGAGTTCACTTAACATAGTTACTGGGGCCTGATCCCCTGAGGAAAGTCTTGAAGTGACACACTCATCACCAGGGTCCAGGCTTTAATCTGAATGAGGGCGGCGATATACAGTTTAAACAATGTTGCCAACTTCCATGATTTTATCCTGAGTCTTGCTACAGTTGATGTTTTACTTAAAGCCCCAGCTCCAGGAGACACATGGTTTCATGAGAATTTCAGCTTTCATTTAAAACAAAAAAGTTGCTAGCCCTCCCGGTTGCAAAGAACAGCATGAAAACATAACTTGAGTGCACTCAATAGACTCAAATGAAAAGAAAAAGAATCCAAAATGTACTCTTTTTAATCTCAAAAATATAAGCCAGTTTCATGATTTTGGAGGCCTGACTCATGTTTTTTGGATGCTTGGGTGTGGCATTATTGTTTAAATAAGAGAAAGTCCTATATTTATTGTCAGTGTGACTGTTTGATGACCTCAACTATGTGTATTGGACAAAAGGCAGGTCATCTGTCATTTCTCTCAGTTTGGAGTGAGCAGGTCTTTTTCAAAGTGAATGCACATCTAGGAAGCAGTATTTTATCATTGCTTCAGCAGTCTTGGGTGAGTGCAATACCCTCTTCCCAAGATGGAACGAACCATGAATCTAGACTTTTAAAAAATGAGCCTTGTTTCTTAAAGTATTCAGCATGGCACCTTGGCTTTAATTTAATTATTTTATCTGAACTTAATTTGGGGAGGGCTTTATTGGTTTACTCTCCAGTTTCCATGGGATGCCTAGATTTCTATTTAAGCTTTGTGCTATAGAAATCAAAGTTATTATTATTATTATTTTTAGTATATGAATGCAGATAATATATTAATCAATGTCATTACAAATCAAGGTTTGAAACAAACAATACAAAGAAAATACACTTGTTCTCTTTTTTGTGTTTCTTAAGGTTCTGCTACACCCAACAGTATTACTGTCTTTACTCAGTCTGCAAAATTTATGCCTGCCAGACTGACTAGAATTGCAGTGACAAAAGTACTGGAGCCTGCTTTTGGAAGCAGACAAGACACAGAACAACTTGATAAAGGAAAGCAACAGTCTGAGACCTCTGTGGATTCAGTAGCCTTGAGGGTCAGCAGCAGACATGGAGGAGGGCAAGCCAACAGAAGCAGCATCTACAGTGATCAAAGTCTGGAGCCATCACTTGAGTTTCAAGGGTTGGACATGGCGAACATCTTGCGAAGTTTCATTTTACAAGCTTATACCTCCAGCCCCAGCACACCTGATGGGTACTGTGTGAACAGTGAATGTAATGTACTGAATATGAATACAACTACTTCTCCAAAAGTTATGGAAGGAGTAAATTAGCACCTGTTTCTCCATGGGGCAAGTGGTGCCCATGTGGCAAGCGGTGCATTCCTACTAAGTATTTGCATGGTGAGATTTTGAAAATTACTCAGCCCCTTTTGGGGCTGGGTGAGATGTAAAGTGAAGCTAATACTACAACGGGACACTTTAAATAGAACTGAGGAGAAGGTACTCAGGCAACTTATATTTACATTTTTCATATTTTTCTAAAAATAATCAAAGAAATGATGACTCTAGCAAGGCTAGCCTTCCATCACTGAGGAGAAGGAAAAGGAAAACTGAACTAGCTGATTGCAAAAGTTTGGATTCAGTGGGACTTGGGCAGGATTGGGGCCAATAGGCATCTATATAATTGGGGTGGGTAGGAAGAGAAATTTGGCACTGAATGTTCTGCATGATCTTATCTGTACTGTACTTAGGTTGGATTGCATGACAGCTGTAGGGTTACCATATTTTGTGCCTCCCAAAGGAGGACACTCCACGGGGCCCCGCCCCCGGCCCAACTCGCCCCTTCCCTCAAAGTCTCCGCCCCCTCCCCCGCTTCCCGCGAACATTTGATTCGCGGGAAGCCTGAA